GTACTAAACAAATGTCCTGTGCAGAAGCGGGAGCCACACTTGTTTAACAGTTCTCTGTTGTTGTAGACTGACGAATAGCAATTGACTTTCATGCTATACACAAGCTTCCATACACACATTACAAATCCAGATACACCACCTGTATGAAGCATTATAAATCTGAGAACTGAGATGCCAAGTATGACCTGCATTCACGGAAGCAAAATAATTCTTCTGTTTATTCCCTCTCCTCTGAAAAATGTAACACTAAAGTGTGTCTCCGATATATATGATTGTCTGGTAGGTTTTTATCGGGTATGAATAGTTGATTCGTCTAGTCATAGTCATTCTTACTCGAATGATTGGCACGGCACATTCTGGCAGAGTTTATTATTTTATTTATTATATACATGTATCGTTAATTGTAGTAGATACTTATATCACAGTACCTTAGAACGGAGAACTGATACGATCAAAACATTAATACATTAAGTACACAGAGAATTGTTACATATCATTTCATGTATATTCCTGCTTCAACAAAGAGCCTGCGTGTAAGCTGTAATCAGTGAAACTGTGTGACCACAAGTTCATTCTCAGCTGGCTAACGTCACATCTCCCATGAAGTCAGTTCTATTTCTCTAGCATAATACAATTTCAGAGGACATTTTGAATGAAAGGAATTAAAAATTAATTCGCTCAATAATCATATTTAACAAACCTACATGTATTTTACCAAATTCAAACACACACCCGTTCTACATTTCGTACCCTTTGGACCTGGACCATTACTGTGTACATATATCTCTTTTAACTGTATAATATATATTCATGATAATCAATTATTCTCGTTCCTAACTAGAATGAGCACATTCTGAGTCTAAATCTGCAAAATGACAGACAAGATCCTTCTTTGTACTATGCAAGCGATACAAACGTAGCGGCTGAGAAAAGAGAAAATGATTGTATAATCTATATGTAATTTATTATATTTTCTCGTTCAATCTATTGTACTTAACATTTGAAATCATTTTATAGCTTCAAGGAGTACTGTTATGGTGTGGTATTATGAATTCAATTAGAATATGAACAGTGAAAAACCATATAAAATGTCTTCCAAACACCACGCTTGCGCAAACGCCTGGCGGTCATAAAACTAATTGCTCCGCAGATTGTTTGTGTAAATTTGTCTAACATTCTGCGAAGTCGCCGATTAGCCACGCAAAAGTTTTACAAAAAAAACAGTTTTAAAAGTAAAAGTCTTTTGCGCTGTAGTGTACCTGGTGTGACCCTCTACAAAAACGTTTCAGCCATATGTGTTGATTAACAAGACCCTGGAGATAATGCAAACTAGATAAGTTCAAAGAACATATAGAGCACCCTTAAACCATAAAGTTCTGACACTGACGTAGGGGATTTCGACTGTAGCACGAGTAACCTATCAATAAATTCCATTTAGGTCATCACTATGGAGTATCCAATCATGGACCTGGAATTCGATATCACACATACCTTTGACGCCATTTGTCTTAAATGGTTTCTCACCCACAAGTAAGTAAGAATAGAGAATATCACATTGCGTCCTTTGGTATGAAATATATGAACGCAAGTTGATTAAAGTAGCAAAAGTCTGAGGCTTGTATTTATTATCCAATATCATAATCAATCAGTAAGTTAAAAAAACCTATAAATTAGAAGACTAGGTTGAGATTTATCTGAATACGTGAATGTGTAAATTTCTCGTTCTAAAAAGTACAGGTATTAGTATTCATATTCCACATGTTCATAATTTGGATTTGTAACATCTTTTGTTATTTTCTTGCATCGGTTGTACAATACATTTACAGTCGTAGTTTGTTGACTGAGGCCCCAGAAAAATTTTAAACATTGCATTTTTAGCAATGTCGTACCGTTTGGACAATATTCATACCAACAAATGTAATAAGTCAGTGGCAAAAGTAAAGTCAAATAAACAAAGATGGCGGATGCAGTAAAATTTCGAAATTAAATCAGTACTTAAAAAAAATTGGGAATAGCTTCAGCGAACCCGCCTGGTCTGCGAGCAATACTGCCACAAACGTGCAATGTCTGACCCTTTCCCATGTTAAAGCATATTGACAAAAGCGTACCTTGTACTTACTTACCTTTTGTAAAACATAAGACATTAATACAACATATGTCCCCGTGTTATGAGTTTTCGGACGCTGAATAAACATTCATAGTTTTTTCACATGAAAAACTGTAAAACATCTCATTCATTTATAAAAGATAACGTTATCATAAAAACAAGCCATGATCGGAGTATTTACAATTTCTGTGTGATGCCACACCCCTCGTTATAGTGCAAGTATTCGAGATAGAAAACGTATGATGTCCGGAAACTTAAGATCAGACAATAATAGTATTGCGTTATGAATATTATAATAAAGGTATGTTTGGTGCTGAAAGCTCTTATCAAAAACAGGACAATCTGCGTAGGTTTTTCGGAGTACTTTTTAAACTTTGATTATATTTTTACGCGTAGGATGATTTTTCCGAGGACTACTGTTTAAAAAAACGCGATTTTCCGCGGATATTTTACATGATAACAATGTATACCGTACAATTACACCGTCCAAACCAAATTCAACACTTTTAAGTAATAATAATATAGCTTTCATCCTCTGTGCAATCCACTCAGTTGGCTAATCTGCTATGCGCACGAGAGCATGTTACAAATCACTTCGCGGCATCCCGTACAAACCAATCTGAGCTCAGCACAAATCGATTTCAACACTTTCAAGTGAATATAATAAAGAATGCAACGCAATCATCCCCGACTGAAAATGAGAACCTATAGAACATTTAATGAACGTTTCATATGTTGTATATTATTTGTGAGAGAAGGTGATTAAGCAGAAAATTTGAAATATGACAGACTGACCAAGGGGATTGGGGATAAACAGAATGACTGGATTAAAGTATATGCATGACTGTGCGACATGGTGTGACTTGGGGCATATATGGGTGTGTGCTAGGAAGGGTTGGGCAGATTGAATAAAAAATGATTGATTGACACGGGTGAACTTGTGCATGATTGAATGTGTGTGGGTCATAATGAATAATGCGTCTGATTGAGTGACCGAGTTGAATTTTTGTGACTCGCTGATCTGGGACATGTATATGGGGGGTGGGGTGTGGGTGTGTGCTAAGGTGTGTAAATTGGTGACTAGGTTGAATTTGCTTGAGAGTATATGTCCGTGTGCCTGTGTAGTGAGACGGGGGGAGGGTGGTGGGTGGGAGTGGGTGGGTTGGGTTGCTGTATACATATAAAGATATTATTAGTTAAAATGTTTTATTTATGTATTTTATTGATTGTATAATTTTAGGTGTCTTTTAGGCCAGTAATAGCCAGGTGTATTATGTACACATGACACGTTAATAAACCATATTATTATTATAATTATTATTATCATTATGACTATTATTATTATTTAAACAGCTATTTATACAGAGCCTTATGTCCTCCTTCCCCGTTAAAGCTCGGTTTAATCATCTTTAAGATGCGGTTCAATGAAGCTCGAGATTGAATTGGGACGTTATTCTAATTCTCCTGTGCCAGTTAACCAACGTTTTTGTAAATATTGCCCTGGATGTGTAGAAGATGAAACTCACTTTCTCCTCCACTGCTCACTTTATGATGATATTCGTGTTACCCACATTCCAAAGGTATTTAACCCCACAAATGGCAACTAAAATGATAATATTGAGCTTGTATATATTCTAAATGATTATAATATTTCAACACTAGGTAGTATTTGCTACAAAATGGGTGCTACAAAATGGCTGTCCGAAGAAAATCTCACTACCAATAACACCATATATATTTATACTGCTTTTATATGTTTTAACTCAATACTTTTAACTCTTACTATGCATTATGTATGGTCTCTTATAACCAACATCGTGGGTGGCAGAGATACTTTATAGTGTACCTTTATAATAATGTATATGCCTACAACTTGTATCTCTGATGAGACAAAAACAAACAATTTGTCACTTGTCACTTGCCACTGTCACTGTTAATCCGCTCTGCGCACTTGACCATAAAGTCTACACACATACTTGTTCTGTTTTTTGCAGTGTATCTAATATACTACACACAGGAATAAGATACATGTAATATGGTATGATGTGTGTGTTTTTTTGTTTTGTTCCAAATATATTTTATTGTCCAAGGAGACAAAGGGATGGGGCACAAGTGCCATACTTATTGTCACCTCGACGTTATATACAATATACATATAGACACGCACACACACGCACGCACGCGCGCACACACACATATGTTGCTTCACTCATCACATAAATCGTTTGTCTCTTTTCCTCATTTACTTGTAAATATTGTGTTGGAATAAGGATGAATATTTTCCACTGTCTGGGAAATGTCGCCTGCAGATACTTGGGTAATTAACTAGCATATATTGAGTACATAAGGGGACTGCTACGTCATGCATTTCAAGAACTAATATCCTGAAAACTAAATCTAACAATATAGCTTATCTCATTCACAAACAATCTTTGCACACTTTAGCCATTGAAGCTGGGGACCCAGGCAGTGTAGTGTGTAGTAATTCAAAACTGTGAGTTCAGATTGTTTTAAAAACTGAGCCTTATCACCATCTCATTAGTAATCTGATATGATCTCTGTTTTTAAGTAGTAGTTAGCACCTACTCTCCCCAAAAATCATATACAAACGTCGATCAAGTGGATAGCGCGTATTTTTGTGCTTAAGTCACTTGGACATTGTTTAGCTTCATAAACTGTTCATAAGAAACATGTCAGACAGCTTTGACACCATTGATGACTTAGTCTTACGAGATGATGTGAACATTAGATGAAATGAGATCAAGTAAATACAGAAACAGAGGGTCTAACATTGCCACAGTGTTAGGCACGAAAGACTATTTTGGATTTAAATTGTGATTAAGGAAGTAGAGGGTAAAGAGAGAATAAGATAACAAATCTTAACAAAACCTACCTGCAAAACAAGTGCTAGTTCGTTCGTATCCGTAATCCGTCACAAACTGTGATGAATGCAGAGTCTGTTCGGTGAAGGAAATACGAAATATGATGTCTTATCTTGATGTACTTTAATAATGCAATTCGACAAAAGGTGTACAGATGCCTCGACAGCTTTTTTCACACATGAATGTGTTCAACTTTGGCAGTAAACTAGTACAGGTAAACATGGCTATTCATGCTCACGTGTGTCAGGTCTCCCCAACGTCGCCGTCACATCTGTACACAAAACAAGCGCATCGTCTAAACTAGGCTACATTTGCATTTCTTCAGCCGTTTACAGATGCCTCGACAGCATTTTTCACACATGAATGACTTCAACCTTGGCACTCAACTAGTGCAGGTAAACAGGTGTCGTGTCGGGTTAGCGAAAATCCAATTTTCCCTAGTATCAGTCGAGCGAAAACCCAAGTTGGGGTATTTGACCTACGAAGGCGAGAAATGAGTAATTGCTATAAGCCACCGGGTTACCGTTGTTTAGATTAGCGCCCGTGCTGTTACAAACAGAGGAGAGGAGAGGAGATTTACTAGAGAGTCGTTTCGTAAAAAAATTGGATGTTGGAAGTTGGATGTTTAAACAGGAGAAGAGATGATCAGTTTCCTAATTGAACAAACAATTAGTTTCTTAGTTGATATGGGTTATGATACCGATGGGTTTAGAGGAGAGTCGTTTCTTAAGAATACATACAGTATGTATTTGATGGTATATTTAAAGATTGCAACTTATTTATCTATGTCCAAAATGGCTAATGCACAAGTTCGAGTGACCATGGTTGATACCGTGCGTGGTGGTCAGCACTTGTTTTATGAGGGCTTCAAGTTTCGTTGTAAGAAAACGGTTCGTGAGAAGAAGTATTAGAACTGCGTTGTTGCTGCCTGCATATGATAATGATGATAATAATCTTAAAGGCATAGACTCAAAAGACTTTGCTTAACAAACTATTCAGTTATTTATTTTACTTATTATTATTACTTATTTTTAGATACCACAGGTATTTGTCACATGTATGTATTTGTTTATAGTTAATATTAGTTAAAATACAATTATTTAATTGCAGGTGAACCATACCCGCCAACCTATCCCATATGAGATGGAAGTGGAATCTTTTAGGTCCAAGCTCATCCACCATGCTTAGACGGAAACAACACCGATTCCAACCATATACGGAGACGAGATTTCCAGACTTCGCTGCCACCACGACGTAGTTCCAGACGACCTGCTTAAAGAAATTCCATTCCTGAAGACCATTCTGTACCGACAACGCCACAAGACCCTTCCTAAACTTCCTGCTGAATTCCAAGGCCACATGTTCCCGCTTGTGTACTGTCTGCTCCCGAACAAGTGCCTTTCCCAACACTTTGATCAGGGGCTGTTATTTTCACTTCACCAAGTGCATTTGGCGTCGAGTACAGAAGGAAGGTCTGGCTACGGACTACAAGAACGATGATGAAGTGCGACGACTGGTGAGAAGAGCCGCAGCCTTGCCTCTGCTTCCCTTGGACAAGGTCGACGACGTCTGGCTCCAAGCCATCGCTGACAGTCCCGCGGGTCCCAAGCCTTCATGGACTACGTCACGACAACGTGGGTGGAAGGACGCCAATTCGGACCTGAGATCTGGAACCTTTTTGGTAACCAAGGGCATCGCACTAACAATAACGTCGAGGGGTGGAATCACAAACTCAAAAGACTTGCCAGGAAGAGAGCTATCCGCACATTTTTGAAGTTGTTACGCTATTTCAAAGAGAACAATCCAACGTAGAAGTCGCCATTCAACGAATTGGAGCCCACTGGTCAGCACCACCCAGAAAGAGAAGATACCGGCTGATTGACAACCGTCTTCAGGCTCTGAAAGACAAAGGTAAACATGGCTATTAATGCTCCTCGCCGTCGTATCTGTACACAAAACAAGTGCATAGTCTAAACAAGGCTACATATGCATTTCTTCAGCCGTTTCAATAATGCAGTGCGCTGTCACTGCATGCTGCGAAGGTCTGTACAGCACACTGTATTTTATTAGTCATTGGTCGATCCTTCATAAATCATATTTTTGCCATTCATTTCACATATGCCTCGGTAGAATTGAGGTAGGGGAAGGACTTCTGGTCAGTTAACAAGTTTTCAGATATCCAGAAATTCGTTTATCCGGACAACATTTTAGAAAAAGCAATTGTCCGGGTAAGCGAGGTTCGACTGTATAACGCGTGATACATGACAAAACAGATGTGTTAGGACCTGATTCGCACTTGCTGAAGGGATACCAATGGACCCTGATCATAATACATTGATTGATTATTATTATTATTATTATTATTATTATTATTATTATTATTGTTATTATTAAACATATTGCATTATCCAAAAAGACAAAGGGATTGGGCACAAGTGCAGCACTTATTACCAACTTCTCCCTATATACAGTTATACATAATATTGCATAATGAAAATGAACAATTTACAGTTGAAGCATCACATTGTGGAAACATAGTGCGCAATATAAATTTATATACAGTGCTCATTTGAAGGATATGTACAATGTGCTGGAAAGTGAAGACAGTGTGCATCTCATACATATGCTAATATTATACATGTTAGTGTTGTATATAGATTTAACTATATTAATGATGAACAGTTTGGAAACAACAATATGCTAGCTACTGAATCTGTTAGTCGTTTCTATAAATTTGTGTACAGACAGGAATATTTTTGTATTCAGGAAAACATCTTAGTTTGGATCACCATAAAGAATACTATTTAGAGTTTTTTCTCCTCCAAGATTATCGATAGATGTCAGTAATGTCTGCCTAATATCATCATATAAGGTACTTTCGAAGAAGAAATGGAATGAATTTTCACAAGGAGCTCTGCATTTACAGGAAATAGTATCAGATAAATTAACACGAAACAGGTTGGAATTTAGTGTGGTACAATTGTGTCTCAATCTAGTGTGCAATATGTTTGTAGATCTCTCACCGCAATAATAGTGCATAGGTGGTGATGTAGGCTGCTCAGATGCGACAGCTTTAAAATAAGATATTGACGGACTATCCCTGATTCCTGATGATAGATTATTCCATTGGCCTAATGTATCTATAATATAAGACCTTTTAAACGTAGATGTCCGTGCAAATGGAACTACAAAATCATGGCGGTTTCAGGGATTATAATTGACGTTCTGTGACAAAGCTGGTGGTATAAGATCAGTTACATATGAAGGACATTGCTTATTTATTATTTTATACATAGTTACAAGTTTGTTGATGTTTCTTCTATACGCTTATATATATGTATCCACGTCACACACACCTAGAACAAGTACACTTATTTGAATATTACTAATATTACATGAATGTTACTGAGCAGTCAGTTCGAGTTTACATCTTTGCGCTTAATCAGCAACATTAAGCCTTTCACGTATATTACAACTTTGCAAGTTAACTTTCCTTTCCAGAAATCCCATAGAATGGTGACAGAGATGAACTTGAGAGATGTGTCATTGACTAAAATCTGCTTTGTTAATTTGCTTTCAAGTGAAAGCATAGGCCTTCACCTGGAAGGAATTTATATTTGTATTATTTCAATTTTTCTTTTCATACACATCACTCTGAATTTTGGGTTTTGAAATAGCATATCGCAGAAATAACTCCTGTTGGACCCTTAGACTTGCAAAAATACTCTAATCATTGGCCGAAACATGCCCCATTTGTGCTTCTTGCTTTGTCAGACCAAACCCATGCTGTTGAATTTCTCAAAAGCTTTAAAAGGGTTAAAGCTATTTTTGGAAGTATAGATGGAGTGACTACCACAGAAGTAGCAAATGGAGTTACGTCCGATGAAATTCTCTGTTTTGACTTGTGCCAAACGTTTTCGTGTTTTTCGGGTTTAACAACTAACTTGCCTTTGCATGTGTTTGTTCCACCTTGATGTCAAAGGTATCAACATATGTGAGAACAAAGAAACGTGAACCCAATATTCCAAATGTTGGAAAATAGGGGAAAAACAGTACAGTCACGGTCTAGTGACCGTGTCGTTTCCCTCTCGCTTAATTGTCTGGCTTCTGTCACCAACCGGCAAAGTCCGGTGGTCGTCGTTGTCCAGTGTCTTTACATCCATTGTTAGAGAATTGGTGACCCGTAAATTTGGTGTCCTCTCATCTGTCTGACATCCCACTTGTTAGACACTTTTAGTAATGGTTGATTCATTACAAATACCATGCCTGTTACCTACGGTTTAAGTGGACTCAGCCCTTTCTTCACCCATTTGTCAGCCAGTAAGGAAAGAACACCCCACAAACTGTTACTCATAGATTTATTTACAGCACTAACAATTCAAATGACATGAGTCATATAAACAAAATTAAATCAATGTCAGCACTAAAACACACATATCAAGTATGCAAGGTACTGATTTAATATATTTATCTCATACATGTTTGCTACCTTGAGGAAGCGTATTAGGGCCACGGTCTAAGAACATGTAACATCTACGTAGATGAAAGTAACCTCGACGTCGCGATCGATGGAACTATAATCTACGTAGATGATGCTTGGCTGACTTTTATATGCCATTTAGAGTAGGCTGGTGGCAATGTATCCTACATAATAAAATAATATACCTTTATGTGGTTTAAAAGACATACGAATACCAATATTTGTGTTTTTCTGTTCTACATCCAATAAAACAAGAGGTAGATTGTTGACCCATGTCTTCATTAACCAAAGTTCTGATCTGTTAGAGCGCCTCACTTCTAATTGACGTATTTATCATATATAATGGCTGCATTATTTAGTAAATATAATATTTAAATTCGTGGTTTTTGTTTGTTGTGTATGAGAATGTCTGGCAAATGATTCTCATGTAACAGTTCTCTTAACTGACCAAACCACAATGGGATTACCCTCTTCTCCATCTACTGGGATAGAATATGCTCAATTTCTTTTGTAACGCAAATGTAGTAAAGATGCCATCTGCTTCAGTGTAACAAGTAATCGCTTTGTGTGTTTGCAAATACGGAAGATGTACAGCTATATGCATATACCAAGGGTACAAATCTACGTTTGTACATAACTTCATAAAACGTTGATGCATGAACATTTCCGTTGGAATTAAACTAACTGAACAGAATAAGCTGTGGATAAAATGATGTTCATGAAATAACCTTCACATAATTACTTAACATTTGTTGTGTGTTCATGTAGTCTATGACACAGTATCATAAACGATCATATAGTTCATATAATTTAAGTATCTTAACAGACAACTAGCAATTGTGAAATAAGGTACGGCGATACTAATGGCAAATCTTCCCCGATCCGTCTTGTCCATGTGGAGACCCATTTGAAGATACTAACTCGAATGTATATTATTTCCAATTTTTAGAACTGATGCTTACTTTAATCATGATTTTACAATTGGTGACATTCTTTAATGTATATATGACACATTTAGGATTTCCTATGTTAGTTATCTTATATTTATAAACACCAGGAAATTTGTGATAAAACAAATCTTCATTACATATAAATTATTTTTGAAACTAATATCTAAATTATTTTGGTACTAATATAGCAACAAAATCATTCTGGTTTCGATATGAAAAGAATAATACCTTATATTACCATACGATAATACAATAACACGTTATCATAGATACATATCTGACTCCAAGACACGTATTATTGATATATCATGTTCTTTTATTACGGGCTTCGAATTTCCCCCACGCCACTGCTTTAAGGCCATACAAACTAAGAACTACAATTTTGCAAATACCGGTCATGGTTTGTTTTATCCGAGGCTGTAATCTATCCCAGTAAGCAGAAAGGCCTTGTGATAACATTGTATCAATTTAAGTAATGATAAATAAGACAATTTCATTATTGGACACAGTCCAGAGAACTATTTTTAAAATATTTACGTCATGGGGGCTCCTCAATTTTGAAAGGATAAAGGATGAAACATTTCATTTTGTTCTGAGGTAGTTTATAAATTAATTGTAACTGTGAATTGTACGGTAGGCTTGACCGCCTTTCTACGGATAAAATACATGTCTATCTGATACGAATATGCATCAATATAAAAGGAATCATATCAAACTTTAGCAAACTAACACTTCTCTGCAATGTGATTGTAGTCGTCTATGGGAATTTCGGGTGAACAACCTGTGCTCACTTAATATATGGATATAGTTAAAATTGCAATCGGGATCTACCAATGGTGCTGTGCTATGTTCAAATGTGTGTGTGTATGTGCGCGCGTGTATGTGTGTTTGTTTGTGTGTGTGAGAGAGAGTTAACAAGAACCTTGTGAGTTTTAAAAAGGAACACGAGATTGAATAGCTCTAAAAAAACACTGGGATAAAATGATCTGTTGAGTTCATGCTGTGATACAAATGCGCTGTAACAACTTACATAAACACCGATAGCAAAGATGCTGACATGGATTACTCTTCCTATATTTGGCAAAAATGTTTTTTTTGTTGTCCTTATGACAATATCTGTAATGTATATTAATTATCTTGGAAACAAAATCCATTAAAATACCTCTTGTTCCAAATTATTTTACCCTTCACAACGCCTGGTATTATTTCAAATTGCTTCAGTTTAACTTATGCACATTATAACTTGACGATTTTTCATAAGTTGACATGTATCATGGTGACATGCAGTTCATACCGAAATAATCTTCCAGATATGATTTTGTTTCTTAAATGCGTGTTACACGAATATGTAGTGGTAGAAACATCTGCACACAAGTTGCACGTCAAGGTCTTTGCAGCGGGTGTTATTCTTTAACCAAGGACTGTCTCCTTGTGTATGGTCTTCATTGTTAACACATGAGATCAATCT